TAGGGGCGCCTATCTCTAGGGGCACCTATCTCTAGGGGCGCATATCTATAGGGGCGCCTATCTATAGGGGCGCCTATCTATAGGGGCGCCTATCTCTATGGGCTCCTATCTCTAGGGGCGCCTATCTCTAGGGGCGCCTATCTATAGGGGCGCCTATCTATAGGGGCGCCTATCTCTATGGGCGCCTATCTCAAGGGGCGCCTATCTCTAGGGGCGCATATCTCTAGGGGCGCCTATCTATAGGGGCGCCTATCTATAGGGGCGCCTATATATAGGGGCGCCTATCTCTATGGGCTCCTATCTCTAGGGGCGCCTATCTCTATGGGCTCCTATCTCTAGGGGCGCCTATCTCTATGGGCTCCTATCTCTAGGGGCGCCTATCTCTATGGGCTCCTATCTCTAGGGGCGCCTATCTCTAGGGGCGCCTATCTCTAGGGGCGCCTATCTATAGGGGCGCCTATCTATAGGGGCGCCTATCTGTAGGGGCGCCTATCTCTATGGGCGCCTATCTCTAGGGGCGCCTATCTCTAGGGGCGCCTATCTCTAGGGGCGCCTATCTATAGGGGCGCCTATCCATAGGGGCGCCTATCTCTAGGGGCTCCTATCTCTATGGACTCCTATCTCTAGGGGCGCCTATCTCTATGGGCGCCTATCTCTAAGGGCGCCAATCTCTAGGGGCGCCTATCCCTATGGGCGCCTATCTCTATGGGAGCCTATCTCTAGGGGCGCCTATCTCTAGGGGCGCCTATCTCTATGGGCTCCTATCCCTAAGGGCGCCTATCTCTATGGGCGCCTATCTCTATGGGCGCCTATCTCTAGGGGCGCCTATCTCTAGGGGCGCCTATCTCTATGGGCGCCTACCTCTATGGGCGCCTATCTCTAGAGGCGCCTATCTATAGGGGCGCCTATCTCTAGGGACGCCTATCTCTAGGGGCGCCTATCTGTATGGGCGCCTATCTCTATGGGCGCCTCGCGCCTATCTATAGAGGCGCCTATCTCTATGGGCGCCCATCACTAGGGGTGCCTATCTCTGAGGGCAACTATCTCTAGGGGCGCCTATCTATAGGGGCGCCTATCTATAGGGGCGCCTATACATAGGGGCGCCTATCTCTATGGGCTCCTATCTCTAGGGGCGCCTATCTCTATGGGCTCCTATCTCTAGGGGCGCCTATCTCTATGGGCTCCTATCTCTAGGGGCGCCTATCTCTATGGGCTCCTATCTCTAGGGGCGCCTATCTCTAGGGGCGCCTATCTCTAGGGGCACCTATCTATAGGGGCGCCTATCTATAGGGGCGCCTATCTATAGGGGCGCCTATCTCTATGGGCGCCTATCTCTAGGGGCGCCTATCTCTAGGGGCGCCTATCTCTAGGGGCGCCTATCTATAGGGGCCCCTATCCATAGGGGCGCCTATCTCTAGGGGCTCCTATCTCTATGGGCTCCTATCTCTAGGGGCGCCTATCTCTATGGGCGCCTATCTCTAAGGGCGCCAATCTCTAGGGGCGCCTATCTCTATGGGCGCCTATCTCTATGGGAGCCTATCTCTAGGGGCGCCTATCTCTAGGGGCGCCTATCTCTATGGGCTCCTATCCCTAAGGGCGCCTATCTCTATGGGCGCCTATCTCTATGGGCGCCTATCTCTAGGGGTGCCTATCTCTAGGGGCGCCTATCTCTAGGGGCGCCTATCTCTAGGGGCGCCTCTCTCTATGGGCGCCTGTCTCTAGGGGCGCCTATCTCTATGCGCGCCTATCTCTAGGGGCGCCTATCTCTAGGGGGCGCCTATCTCTGTGGGCGCTTATCTCTATGGGTGCCTATCTCTGGGGGCGCCTATCTCTATGGGCGCCTATCTCTAGGGGCGCCTATCTTTAGGGGCGCCTATCTTTTGGGGCGCCTATCTATAGGGGCGCCTATCTCTATGGGCGCCTATCTGTAGGGGCGCCTATCTCTAGGGGCACCTATCTCTAGGGGCGCATATCTATAGGGGCGCCTATCTATAGGGGCGCCTATCTATAGGGGCGCCTATCTCTATGGGCTCCTATCTCTAGGGGCGCCTATCTCTAGGGGCGCCTATCTATAGGGGCGCCTATCTATAGGGGCGCCTATCTCTATGGGCGCCTATCTCAAGGGGCGCCTATCTCTAGGGGCGCATATCTCTAGGGGCGCCTATCTATAGGGGCGCCTATCTATAGGGGCGCCTATATATAGGGGCGCCTATCTCTATGGGCTCCTATCTCTAGGGGCGCCTATCTCTATGGGCTCCTATCTCTAGGGGCGCCTATCTCTATGGGCTCCTATCTCTAGGGGCGCCTATCTCTATGGGCTCCTATCTCTAGGGGCGCCTATCTCTAGGGGCGCCTATCTCTAGGGGCGCCTATCTATAGGGGCGCCTATCTATAGGGGCGCCTATCTATAGGGGCGCCTATCTCTATGGGCGCCTATCTCTAGGGGCGCCTATCTCTAGGGGCGCCTATCTCTAGGGGCGCCTATCTATAGGGGCGCCTATCCATAGGGGCTCCTATCTCTAGGGGCTCCTATCTCTATGGACTCCTATCTCTAGGGGCGCCTATCGCTATGGGCGCCTATCTCTAAGGGCGCCAATCTCTAGGGGCGCCTATCCCTATGGGCGCCTATCTCTATGGGAGCCTATCTCTAGGGGCGCCTATCTCTAGGGGCGCCTATCTCTATGGGCTCCTATCCCTAAGGGCGCCTATCTCTATGGGCGCCTATCTCTATGGGCGCCTATCTCTAGGGGCGCCTATCTCTAGGGGCGCCTATCTCTATGGGCGCCTACCTCTATGGGCGCCTATCTCTAGAGGCGCCTATCTATAGGGGCGCCTATCTCTAGGGACGCCTATCTCTAGGGGCGCCTATCTGTATGGGCGCCTATCTCTATGGGCGCCTCGCGCCTATCTATAGAGGCGCCTATCTCTATGGGCGCCCATCACTAGGGGTGCCTATCTCTGAGGGCAACTATCTCTAGGGGCGTCTATCTCTATGGGCGCTTATCTATAGGGGCGCCTTTCTCTAGGGGCGCCTATCTCTAGGGGGGCCTATCTCTAGGGGCGCCTATCTCTAGGGGCGCCTATCTCTAGGGGCTCCTATCTCTATGGGCTCCTATCTCTAGGGGCGCCTATCTCTATGAGCGCCTATCTCTAAGGGCGCCTATCTCTAGTGGCGCCTATCTCTATGGGCGCCTATCTCTATGGGCACCTATCTCTAGGGGCGCATATCTCTATGGGCGCCTATCTCTATGGGCGCCTATCTCTATGGGCGCCTATCTCTATGGGCGCCTATCTCTAAGGGCGCCTATCTCTATGGGCGCCTATCTCTATGGGAGCCTATCTCTAGGGGCGCCTATCTCTAGGGGCGCCTATCTCTATGGGCTCCTATCCCTAAGGGCGCCTATCTCTATGGGCGCCTATCTCTATGGGCACCTATCTCTAGGGGTGCCTATCTCTAGGGGCGCCTATCTCTAGGGGCGCCTATCTCTAGGGGCGCCTCTCTCTATGGGCGCCTGTCTCTAGGGGCGCCTATCTCTATGCGCGCCTATCTCTAGGGGCGCCTATCTCTAGGGGGCGCCTATCTCTGTGGGCGCTTATCTCTATGGGTGCCTATCTCTGGGGGCGCCTATCTCTATGGGCGCCTATCTCTAGGGGCGCCTATCTCTAGGGGCGCCTATCTATAGGGGCGCCTATCTATAGGGGCGCCTATCTCTATGGGCGCCTATCTGTAGGGGCGCCAATCTCTAGGGACACCTATCTCTAGGGGCGCATATCTATATGGGCGCCTATCTATAGGGGCGCCTATCTATAGGGGCGCCTATCTCTATGGGCTCCTATCTCTAGGGGCGCCTATCTCTAGGGGCGCCTATCTATAGGGGCGCCTATCTATAGGGGCGCCTATCTCTATGGGCGCCTATCTCAAGGGGCGCCTATCTCTAGGGGCGCATATCTCTAGGGGCGCCTATCTATAGGGGCGCCTATCTATAGGGGCGCCTATACATAGGGGCGCCTATCTCTATGGGCTCCTATCTCTAGGGGCGCCTATCTCTATGGGCTCCTATCTCTAGGGGCGCCTATCTCTATGGGCTCCTATCTCTAGGGGCGCCTATCTCTATGGGCTCCTATCTCTAGGGGCGCCTATCTCTAGGGGCGCCTATCTCTAGGGGCGCCTATCTATAGGGGCGCCTATCTATAGGGGCGCCTATCTATAGGGGCGCCTATCTCTATGGGCGCCTATCTCTAGGGGCGCCTATCTCTAGGGGCGCCTATCTCTAGGGGCGCCTATCTATAGGGGCCCCTATCCATAGGGGCGCCTATCTCTAGGGGCTCCTATCTCTATGGGCTCCTATCTCTAGGGGCGCCTATCTCTATGGGCGCCTATCTCTAAGGGCGCCAATCTCTAGGGGCGCCTATCTCTATGGGCGCCTATCTCTATGGGAGCCTATCTCTAGAGGCGCCTATCTCTAGGGGCGCCTATCTCTATGGGCTCCTATCCCTAAGGGCGCCTATCTCTATGGGCGCCTATCTCTATGGGCGCCTATCTCTAGGGGCGCCTATCTCTAGGGGCGCCTATCTCTAGGGGCGCCTATCTCTATGGGCGCCTACCTCTATGGGCGCCTATCTCTAGAGGCGCCTATCTATAGGGGCGCCTATCTCTAGGGACGCCTATCTCTAGGGGCGCCTATCTGTATGGGCGCCTATCTCTATGGGCGCCTCGCGCCTATCTATAGAGGCGCCTATCTCTATGGGCGCCCATCACTAGGGGTGCCTATCTCTGAGGGCAACTATCTCTAGGGGCGCCTATCTCTATGGGCGCTTATCTATAGGGGCGCCTTTCTCTAGGGGCGCCTATCTCTAGGGGGGCCTATCTCTAGGGGCGCCGATCTCTAGGGGCGCCTATCTCTAGGGGCTCCTATCTCTATGGGCTCCTATCTCTAGGGGCGCCTATCTCTATGGGCGCCTATCTCTAAGGGCGCCTATCTCTAGTGGCGCCTATCTCTATGGGCGCCTATCTCTATGGGCGCCTATCTCTAGGGGCGCCTATCTCTATGGGCGCCTATCTCTATGGGCGCCTATCTCTATGGGTGCCTATCTCTATGGGCGCCTATCTCTAAGGGCGCCTATCTCTATGGGCGCCTATCTCTATGGGCGCCTATCTCTAGGGGTGCCTATCTCTAGGGGCGCCTATCTCTAGGGGCGCCTATCTCTAGGGGCGCCTCTCTCTATGGGCGCTTGTCTCTAGGGGCGCCTATCTCTATGCGCGCCTATCTCTATGGGCGCCTATCTCTAGGGGGCGCCTATCTCTGTGGGCGCTTATCTCTATGGGTGCCTATCTCTGGGGGCGCCTATCTCTATGGGCGCCTGTCTCTAGGGGCGCCTATCTCTAGGGGCGCCTATCTATAGGGGCGCCTATCTATAGGGGCGCCTATCTCTATGGGCGCCTATCTGTAGGGGCGCCTATCTCTAGGGGCACCTATCTCTAGGGGCGCATATCTATAAGGGCGCCTATCTATAGGGGCGCCTATCTATAGGGGCGCCTATCTCTATGGGCTCCTATCTCTAGGGGCGCCTATCTCTATGGGCGCCTATCTATAGGGGCGCCTATCTATAGGGGCGCCTATCTCTATGGGCACCTATCTCTCGGGGCGCCTATCTCTTGGGGCGCATATCTCTAGGGGCGCCTATCTATAGGGGCGCCTATCTATAGGGGCGCCTATATATAGGGGCGCCTATCTCTATGGGCTCCTATCTCTAAGGGCGCCTATCTCTATGGGCTCCTATCTCTAGGGGCGCCTATCTCTATGGGCTCCTATCTCTAGGGGCGCCTATCTCTATGGGCTCCTATCTCTAGGGGCGCCTATCTCTAGGGGCGCCTATCTCTAGGGGCGCCTATCTCTAGGGGCGCCTATCTATAGGGGCGCCTATCTATAGGGGCGCCTATCTCTATGGGCGCCTATCTCTAGGGGCGCCTTTCTCTAGGGGCGCCTATCTCTAGGGGCGCCTATCTATAGGGGCGCCTATCCATAGGGGCGCCTATCTCTAGGGGCTCCTATCTCTATGGGCTCCTATCTCTAGGGGCGCCTATCTCTATGGGCGCCTATCTCTAAGGGCGCCTATCTCTAGTGGCGCCTATCTCTATGGGCGCCTATCTCTATGGGCGCCTATCTCTAGGGGCGCCTATCTCTATGGGCGCCTATCTCTATGGGCGCCTATCTCTATGGGCGCCTATCTCTATGGGCGCCTATCTCTAAGGGCGCCTTTCTCTATGGGCGCCTATCTCTATGGGCGCCTATCTCTAGGGGTACCTATCTCTAGGGGCGCCTATCTCTAGGGGCGCCTATCTCTAGGGGCGCCTCTCTCTATGGGCGCCTGTCTCTAGGGGCGCCTATCTCTATGCGCGCCTATCTCTAGGGGCGCCTATCTCTAGGGGGCGCCTATCTCTGTGGGCGCTTATCTCTATGGGCGCCTATCTCTGGGGGCGCCTATCTCTATGGGCGCCTATCTCTAGGGGCGCCTATCTCTAGGGGCGCCTATCTATAGGGGCGCCTATCTATAGGGGCGCCTATCTCTATGGGCGCCTATCTCTAGGGGCGCCTATCTCTAGGGGCGCCTATCTCTAGGGGCGCCTATCTATAGGGGCGCATATCTATAGGGGCGCCTATCTCTATGGGCGCCTATCTCTAGGGGCGCCTATCTCTAGGGGCGCCTATCTCTATGGGCGCCTCTTTTAGGGGTGCCTGTTTCTACGGGCCCCTATCTCTTTGGGCGCCTATCTCTATGGGCGCCTATCTCTATGGGCGCCTATCTCTATGGGCGCCTATCTCTATGGGTGCCCATCTCTATGGGCGCCTATCTCTTTGGGCGCCTATCTCTAGGGACACCAATCTCTACGGGCGCCTATCTCTAGGGGCGCCTATCTCTAGCGGCGCTTACCTCTATGGTCGTTTACCTCTACGGGCGCCTATCTCTAGGGGCGCCTATTCGTAGGGACGCCTATCTTTAGGGGCGCATATCTCTAGGGGCGCCTATCTCTAGAGGCGCCTATCTCTATGGGCGCCTAACTCTATGGGCGCCTATCTCTAGGGGTGTCTATCTATAGGGGCGCCTATTCTAGGGGCGCCTATCTCTATGGGCGCCTATCTCTAGGGGCGCTTTTCTTTAGGGGTGCCTATCTCTAGGGGCGCCTATCTCTATGGGCGCCTCTCTTTAGGGGCGCATGTCTCTATGGGCCCCTATCTCTATGGGCGCATATCTCTAGGGGCGCCTATCTCTTTGGGCGCTTATCTCTAGGGGTGCATATCTCTAGGGGCGCCTATCTCTATGGGCACCTCTCTTTAGGGGCGCTTGTCTCTATGGGCCCCTATCTCTATGGGCGCCTATCTTTATGGGCGCATATCTCTATGGGTGCCTTTCTCTATGGGTGCCTATCTCTAGGGGCACCTATCTCTATGGGGGCCTATCTCTAGTGGCGCCTATCTCTATGGGCGCCTATCTCTAGGGGCACCTATCTCTAGGGGCGTCTATCTCTGGGGGCGCCTATCTCTATGGGCGCCTATGAAGCAGTAACCCTGAGTCGAGCGGTGAGTCTCCACGTCGTCAGCGTAAGAAGAGTCGCAGTGACCAGTTAACGCCACTGGCTAAGTCCCTCCAAGCACAAGCCCCATGCCTGATGTAGTCGCCAAGTACTTCGCCACCCTCACTGCAGCTGTCCAGTGGACAGGGCGGTGTCTCCCAGTCGCAACAAAGCGAGAAAGGATGCTGAGGGGAAACGCGAGCTCTGGTCGAGTACAAGTCATCAGGTACATGAGGCAGCCCACCAGCTCTGCGTAGGGTCCACTGCACTCGAAGGGCTCGTCAGGAAAGGGGCCCGTGAGTCTGTGGTCAACAGCAAGAGGAGTGGGCTGTGTGGTGGAGAACTGGAAGTCGAAACGCCGAAGGACCTGCAGCACCATGTGTGACCTTGTTAGTGTGATGGTGCGAGCGGCTCTGTCCCGGGTGATCTGCAGGCCAAGGTAGCGCTGCAGCTCACCCAGGTCAGTGCACTTGTGTCTCGTCTGCAGTTCGGACTTCACCTGAGCCAGGGCTGCCCTGTCAGCTGTAGCAAACACAAAGTCGTCGACGTAGACAAGGATAAAGAAAGGAGTAGAACCCGTTCGAACAAACAGCGACGGGTCGGCGGAGGACGGGCTGAACCCAAGGTCCCGAAGCGTGGAGCGAAGAGTGTCGTGCCACTCACGGGGCGACTGGCGGAGACTGTAGACTGGTCGCCTCAGGCTCCACTGGGTCCCAGATGGGAAGGTGTCAGTGAAGCCAGGAGGACGGCGCAGCCAGATCTCCTCGTGCAGTCGGCCCAGGAGGAACGCAGTGGAGAAGTCGAGGGAGTGCAGCTCGTAGTCTCGCTGCGCTGCTATGTGGAGTAACACCCAAAGAGTAGTCATCTTCAGGGTCGGGGCGAAGGTCTGGAAGAAGTCAACTCCCTCACGCTGACTGAAGCCCCTAGCTACGTAGCGCGCCTTGAACACCGGCGGTGCTCCAGGCGGCCGCTTCACCTTGAAGAGTCACATGCCATCGACTACGTTCGCCCTGGGAGGGGGAACTGCGTCGACGTAGATGCCTGTGGATCTCCAAGACGCCAACTCTGAGTCCATAGCCTCTTTCCACTAAGAGGCCCACGCCCTTGACACTGCCTCGCGGTAAGTGCGAGGAGTCGGAATGTCAAGGGCATCGGGGTCTCCCTCAGGGGAGAGCAGCATGGCACACACAAAGGGAGAAGCGGCTGCCAAGTACTCCAGCTCAGACTCTCTGTCCTCTAGGACGTCACAGCCAAGGGCAAACCCACCCCCGACGGACAGAGGACGGTAGGGAGGAGCTGGCACCACCCGGGTGGCGTAGTCAAGGCGGCTAGCGGCAGCAAACTCAGCGACACCGGCAGTAAGAGCCCAGGCAGACGACGGAGGGAAACGAGAGTCAGTGACAAGAGTGGCGAGGACACGTGCGGCAACAGGACGAACAGTGCAGTAGTAGTCAGTTATAGGAGTGGGGAGGGCTGGGAGAGGGGACGGAGGAGGAGACGGGAGAACGGACACAGGAGAAAACAAGAACGACGACTGGACGAACAAAAGAGGGCAGTGTGGAGGTCAGTAACAGGGGACGAGTGACGAGCACGCGGAGGACAACGAGTGATCAAGTCGTGACGGACAGAGTGAGGAGGAGGAGGAGAAGACCAGACCGCCGTACGGTCGTCAGGAGGAGGCAACGGAGGAACAAACACAAGAGGAGACTGGGAGCGGACAGGAGGAGAGGAGAAAAGGCCAAGGGTCCGCAGGGCACTCACAGGTGGGAACAACTGCCACTCCAGAGGAAGCTGCGGTGCCGGCTGCGGCTGCTGCTGCTGCAGCGGCGACTGTAGCTGCTGCTGCTGCTGCGGCTGCGGCTGCTGCTGCTGCGGCTGCTGCTGCTGCGGCTGCGGCTGATGCTGCTGCTGCTGCTGCTCTTGCTGCTGTCGCTGCTGCTCCAGAAGGTCCAGCACCCGCAGCTCCAGCCGCTCCCTCTCCAACCGCTCCTGCTCCTCACGCTCACGCCGACGGGCAGCCTGGAGACGCGTGTCGTGGCGGTGGGGAGGCGGAGTGGACTCTGCAGAACCAGGGTCTCCAGCGTCAGTCTCCTCAGACTCAGCACCCCCAGAACCAGCACCTCCAGTGCCAGGACCTCCAACTCCAGCACCCCAAGAACTAGCACCGCCAGTGCCTGCACCGCCAACTCCAGCACCCCCAGAACTAGCACCTCCAGTGCCAGCACCTCCAGCTCCAGCACCCCCAGAGCCAGCGCCACCTGCGCTAGCACCTCCAGCTCCAGCACCCCGCGACCGAGCACCCCCAGACCGAGCACCGCCAGCGGCTGCACCTCCAGCTCCAACACCAACCGAGTCCACACTAACCTGTCGAGGAAGTGCCGAAGGCTACTAAGGGGACTGTGAAGAGGACTGCGGGGAGGGAGACGCTACCTGACGCGCGACCGAGGGTAGAGGGGTAGCGTGAGACACACCAAACGGGGCAGGACCAGGGGGGGGGCGGGGGTACCGGAGGAGCAGGAGCAGGAGGAGGAGAGGTGCTAGGAACAGGGGGGGAGGGGGTACCGGGAGACCTCGACAGGGGTACCAGGTGTAGTAGGACACAGACTTGTCAAACCGGATGTCACGGGAGTCTAGGAACTGGTGGAGGGGCGGGTGGTAAAAGGACCAGGCGGCAGAGTCCACTGGGAAACCAAGGAAGATACAGGGGACGGCGCGTGCCGAGAGCTTGTCCGCGGAGGTGTCGCGAACAAGTGCAAGGCAGCCCCAGACTCGTAAGGCCGACCCAACACCAGGGGAACCAGTCCAAAGACTGGTCGGTGAAGCTTCGGGCCGCGAGACACGCGGCTGGAGGTTCAGCTGGTGTGCGGCGTAGCGAACCGCGTGAGGCCACAGAATATGGGGCGCACGGGCATGGATCATGGACGTGCGGGCGATGTCCATGACCAAGCCTATGCGGCGCTCAGCAACCCCATTCTTCTGTGGGGACTCTGGCAGCGTCCAGGACTGGGTGATGCCCTGTTCGCCGCAGAATCCGCCGAGAATGCCGGAGCGAAACTCGCCCCCACGGTCGGAGTGAAGACAACTGACTCGATGACCACGAGTGCCCTCAGTGGCTAGAAGCCACCTGATCAGCGTAGCAGTCACCTCGGACTTCTTCGCAAGAGGGAACACGGTGGTGTACCAAGAGAAGTCGTCGACGACCACCAGAAAGAAACGCTCTCTCCCAGACCCCTGCGTCGGGGCAGGGCCCCAGACGTCCAAGTGGAGAGTCTCAAAGGGAGCGGTGGCCGGACGAAGGGAGGAGGAGTGGGGAGTGGCGCGTAAGCAACCGGCGACGCACGGAGAGCAAGGAGGGGCAAGCGAGGGAGGGAGCGACGGGAAGGTGCGTGGGGGACCTGTGACTAGTCCCTGGCTGAGCATTCCACGAAGGCAAGGGATCAACGGGTGGCCAAGACGGTGGTGCCACAGGACGGTGCGGTGGGCGAGAGAGCGACAGGAGCAAGACGCAGCGACTGGACTGGACACAGCAACCCGACTGGACACAGCCACCTGACTGGACTCTGCTACCGGGGGGACGAAGCAACATGACCAGACGCAGCTACCTGCGGGGGCGGAGTGTGCAGGACGAAGAGACCTGAGTGGGGCTCTCTGGTCAACGTGGCAAGAACTGCCCCGGTGGAAGAGTCCGTACAGATCGCAGTCCTCCCGTGCGCAGGAAAAGTGATTGTGATCCCCCGATCCTGAAGGTATCCAACACCCACCAAGTTCCGAGAGAACGAGGGGATGTAGAGACAGTGAGGAAACCAGAGGGGACAGCCGGGCACGGGAGGGTGGTCGAGCTGCGAGCAACTACTGGTCCTGAAGTAGGATCAGCTAGGGCAACTGGGACTGGAGGCGAAAGAGGTGTGACAGTGGTGTGGTCGCGGAAGAAACACTGAGACGCGCCGGAGTCCAGCGTGAAGGAGAGCGACGCAACAGCAGTCGTCACGGCTGGGCTAGTGACTACACAAGCACCTAAACTAAAAGCACAAGTACCGACACTAGCAACAGGCAAAGGTCCTAAGCTAGGTACACGTAAGCCAAGAGAGCCGTACGTGACAGAATAAACAGCATCCATAGACATATCAAACACAAGGAAACCACTACGAAACAGACCGGGCCAGATCGGGGGAGCCGACTCAGGCCCAAAACGCTCACGGTAAAGGTCGTCAAGGCGGCTGTAGCAGCGGTGTGCAGAGTGGTCAGGACGCCAGCAGGTAGTGCCAGCACCAGGGCCGGTCAGGATCCGGTACTGGCAGGGGCCGACGTCGCGGCCACCGTGATGAGCCCCCCAGTTGGCTGGGCCGCTGCTGCAGCCAACGCGACCTGAATCACCGGGCCCCCACGGCTGCTGAGGGCGCCACAGCTGCTGAGGGGGCCCCTGCTGCTGCGGAAGCCACCGCTGAAAAGGCCGCTGCTGCTGTCCCTACTGCTGGAGAACCCTACTGGACTCCATGATGAAAGCTAGTGGGGTGCAGGAGCTGCAGGCTGCAGTGAAAAACGAGAACAACTAGGAGTGCAAGGTGAAACCAGGCGAGTAACTGCTGGAGCACGGAGCGAACTAAACTAGGAGCAAGGAGCAAGAACGGCTGGAGCGAGAACGGCTGGAGCTAGAACGTCTGGAGCTAGGGCTGGCTGGAGGTAGGAACGGCCGGGGCTAGAGACCAGGCTAAGGACGCCAGCGGGGAAAACGACGAGAGACAGTTGGCAAGAAAATAGACGTGGGGCAAGGCTCTAACCGAACCTAGGTGGCGCTACCAGAGGGAAGAGCGGCTGCGAGCCGCTGAGCCGGGAGCCAAGTGCAGTAGGAATGGCGTGGGACCGGTGCACAGGTGAAGGGGAGAGAGATGTAGT